AACTCGGATTTTACAGCGTGCCTGCCTCTCTTTTATGGTTGTGGTCATTGTTGAGGACGAAAAGAGCACATGCATTAACAAATCCTGGGTTTCCCTGAAATCTGCCAGGTTGCTCAGGCCTATTGGTCAGTTATAGGGGATGGCAGGCCCGAGGGGCATTTCTTCTCCGTCTCTGTCCCATGAGAGCAAGCCTTGGGCAGGAAGACTGGACACGCAGTCCAGGCGGAGAAGCATCCATTGGGGACCGGTGACAAGTGCGTGCTGCCCCCACCTCTGGGCAGTGGAGGAGGAATCCTGCCTGGCACGTGGGACCAGGGCATCGCCAGCACCTCGCGGTGCACTTTTGCTTACAGACAACCTCCACTTGGTGGGGTGAACGCTCTAGGTGCTTATGGGGGCTCAGCTGAATTGAAGGCTGGGTTGTCTGGTGGTGACCTGGCTACTGGATTGATCCCGAATCGGGGCCCATTCAGAGGGGCTCATGAGAATCTGCGTGGATTTCCTGTGTTCGCCCTTCCAGGCTGAGAGGCTCTGTCTGCCCTGGGTGCTCTCCCCGTGGAAGCATGGGGTTATGACTCAGCGTCCAGCCATCTCTCTTTTTTTTTTCTCTTAAAACGCTGGGTAGGGTCATCATCATTCTGAGCCCGTCTCTGCTTTTCCCCGTTTGCGAGCCCCAAATCCTGCTTCATTCTAAGCAGAAAGCCTTCCAGCGTGATTTATCAGCTGCCTTTTTGTGGTGTTACAGGAAGTGAAAATCTCCAGCCCGGATTACAAAGACTGCAACTCAGCAGAAGCTATGGACGATTTCATGAAGAGAATCAATTGCTATGAAGCCAGCTACCAGCCCCTCGACCCCGATAAATGTGACAGGTAATTCCTGAGAGGTGACTTCGGGGCTTTGAATATTATTCTTGATGTTCCCACGAAGCATTTGCTCCTGGATACTTTTATAAACTCTTTTTTTAAGTATCTTAAAAAAAACTCTTGATGACGTATTCGGTGTTGCAGACACTGTACAAGTGTGGAAAGGGAATATTTGAGCCCCATCTTGCTCCTGTCCTTTGATGTTTCCCTTGCTTTCTTTTCCACGCTCTTGCTTTTCTTTCCCCGTGCGCTGGGAGGCCAGCCAGCCTCTCCAGCGCTCACTCCCCTGCGGGAATTACAGACTCAGACCCCCTGACTCTCAGAGAAGAGAGGTTCCATCTGTGTCCCCAGGAGCTGACACTGTGGATCGGTTGGGGCTGGGTCTCGGCAGTGGGGCTGGGGCGGCGTCGGGGCTTTGCCCCGGCTGTGCTGTCCAGTGTTCTGACGCGCTGGTCGCCCTCCTGTGCAGGGACCTGTCCCTGATCAAGGTGATCGACGTGGGCCGGCGGTTCCTGGTGAACAGGGTCCAGGACCACATCCAGAGCCGCATCGTGTACTACCTGATGAACATCCACGTGCAGCCCCGCACCATCTACCTGTGCCGGCACGGGGAGAGCGAGCACAACCTCCAGGGCAAGATCGGAGGGGACTCGGGCCTGTCCAGCAGGGGCAGGAAGGTAGGAGGAGTGCGGGGATGGGGCAGGAAGCCGAGGGGTGGGGCTGTGCGTCCCTGTGTGCGTCTCCGTGTGTGTGTGTCCCTGTGTCTGTGTGCCCTTGTGTGTACATGTGCATGTATGTCTGTGTGTGTTCCTCTGGGTATGTATATGCACGTGTGTCTGTGTACGTATATGTGTTTGGGGAGGGTGGAGGGTCTCTTGAGCCTGTGGGGAGGGGTGTGTGTGTGTGTGTGTGTGTGTGTGTCCGAGGGGAGGGGGTACGTGTGCAGTGGCTGCTCCCAGGACCCCCTCACCAGCAGTGAGGACAGTGTGGCCGACCCCGATGTGCACGGGGACCGGCCCTGCACTGTTTCTCTGGGAGGGAGGGGCAGAGCTGGTGGTCCGGCGTGAGCCCCTCATCCCGTCCGCCATCCCCCTCCCCACCCCAGTTCGCCAATGCCCTGAGCAAGTTTGTGGAGGAGCAGAACCTGAAGGACCTCAAGGTGTGGACCAGCCAGCTGAAGAGCACCATCCAGACGGCGGAGGCCCTGCAGCTCCCCTACGAGCAGTGGAAGGCGCTCAACGAGATTGATGCCGTGAGTCCGGGGCCGGGAGCCGCTGGGAATCCTGAGCGCTTCCCACCTGCAGGGGCTGCGCTGGCCAGGTCGGGGCGGCCGTGGCGGGTATTCCCTCGAGTGACCTCTCGGTGTTCCCGCCAGGGCGTCTGTGAGGAGATGACCTACGAGGAGATCAGAGACACCTACCCCGAGGAGTACGCGCTGCGCGAGCAGGACAAGTACTACTACCGCTACCCCACCGGGGAGGTGAGTGCCGCCCGCTCCCTCTGCATCTCTGGCTTGGGCCTGTGCGCGCTGGGCAAGTGATGGGCAGGTGGCCGGGGTGCTGTGGGCAAGGAGCTGAGCTGGTCCTTCTGAGGCTACTGTGTCTGGCGAGGCTGGGGAGGGGGGCTGCTAGGGACCCGGAGGGACCCGTTACTGGTGACTCTGGGGAGGAAGGGCCCCTGCGTATACCCCGCTACCCTGTACCGATGCTCGTCCTGGCCCGTCTGCCTTTGAATCGAGTCTTCCCGATTTGGACCTTGTAAACAGCTCCCAGAGAAGCACAGTTGTGTTTCCCACAAGCAGCAGGGACAGATGTCTTTCTCTAATGACGTACATGACAATTCAGGAAAGAAAAACAGTCCTGGATGGTGATTCACTGGACACAAGGGCCCCCTTGACTGTGGGCGACATGGCAGACACGTCAGCAAGTCACTTGTACTGACTCCATCGATGCTGGTGGAGGGACCCTTAGGCCGTGTAGCCCCCTCGGGCTGAGCGCTTGCCTGCAGCACTGAATGGAGAGTCCAGCTGTAGGCGGTGCTCTGGGGTCTCCACAGGCTCGGTCTCGTGACACCCAGTGGGGTTGCTTCCCGTCTGTGGTGCTTCCTTCCACTCAGCGTGTCAGTTCCCTGGAGCCCAGGACGCTGTCCCTGGTCCCTCCCAGGCCCTTGTTCCCTGGGACCTGCTTAGTGAGAGAGGGGACTGGGGGTGGAGGGAACCTCGGTGGTCTTAACGGTACAGGCCTACCCCTTCTTTTTCAATTTTCTTTTATTGAGATAAAATTCACATCATATAAAAGTCACCATTTTAACCAAAGTGTACAGGTCAGTGGTTTTTCTTATATTTCACAATATTGTGCAGCTATCACCACTAATTCTAGAACACTCCATCGCTCCATAAACAAACCACAGCCTTTTAGCGGTCAGTCCCAGTTCCTCCTCCCCCGTCCCTGACAACTGTGAGTCTATGTTCTGTCTCTGGAGTTCCCTGTTCTGGACGTTTCACGTCAGTGGAATCATACACCCTGTGGTCTTTCACTCTGTAAAATGTGTTCAGGGCTGTTCTGCACTGTAGTGTGTGTCAGGGCCCCATTCCCTCACTTTCCCGGTGGAGGGTGAGGGTCAGGAAGGAGCAGTGAGAGGGAGAGGGCAGTTGAGGTGGGTCCCCCAGTGCCCGGGAGGGATGCAGCACACTGACGGTGGGGGGGCGGTGGGGAGGAGGTTGATGGAGGATCCATCGTGTGGTCTCTGGTTTATAAGTGGGAGAGGTGTGGCCACGGATGCCGGGCTTCTGCTCCAACTTGGTGCCCCGTCCCTCTGCCTTGCAGTCCTACCAAGACCTGGTCCAGCGCCTGGAGCCGGTGATCATGGAGCTGGAGCGGCAGGAGAACGTGCTGGTCATCTGCCACCAGGCCGTCCTGCGCTGCCTCCTGGCCTACTTCCTGGACAAGAGCGCAGGTGCCTGGTCCTCCGATGCATCCTCTCCCGGGAGGTCACGGGGGTGGGGAGCCAGTCACAGCCCCCCCAAAGGAGAGAGGGAAAGGAAACTGGCCTTAGAGCTGGGGTAGCCTGCTGCCACGGGTGAGGAAAGGCTGCGTCCCCCCCCCCTCCCCCCGCCTAGCGCTTCCTTGCAGCCCCTGGAAGACACTCGAGCAGTTTGATGCTGGGTGGGCTTAATGGCTTCGAGAACCAGCCTCTCGGAAGCCCTGTGTTCCCACGTCTCAGGGGCTGTGGGTTGGGTGGGGAAGAGGCAGCCCACCTCTAAGGAGTTAACAGCCCAGAAAACTCTGCCGTTACTCTTGACACTTAAATGTGGATCCTGACAACTAAATTGTTTGGGAAATTGACTCTTTTACTCCAGCTCATTGTGTGAGGGTTTGGGTTTGCTTCGGTGGGCCGGGCCGCCTGCCTCGAGCACAGCAGGCCAGCGGCCGGG